GTTTTGGCAGAGATCGTGCAGGTAGCTGCCGATCTATTTCATACACTTTAACGACGCAATATGCACAACCCCCCAAGTATGTTTGCATTCTGCTTGGGTTACTATGTAACCTTACGTCTGCCTCCTACCTCGTCCTTCTGCTGAGGATTGCCTCTTTCTCTTAAGTCAGCACTGTTCCGTCTCATAACGATGCGCACGTTTCTTTCTTCTTTCGTCGATAGAGGTATCCTTTTACCTTATGTAGACTTCACAACATTTGGAAGGAATGCAGTAGACCCATGCGCACTACTGGTCCTCTTTTGTTCAGGCATACGTTAGTCGACTCTGAAGGGTGAGTTAAGATCTGAACGCAACTTTCAGGCCAAGAGATTAGGCGATTCTTAAGAGTCCTTCGAAACGTTGGTAATTTTCGTCTAGGGATTCAATAAAATCTAAATTAAATGCGGAACAATCCAGGAAGAAACATGAAAATCATTAAATTAATTTTCCGTATAAAAAACGGTGTTCAGTTTCTAGGTGTTTCAAAGGACTCTGTATTCATGTCCTGAAAGCCTGGTATGCGGAACCAATTCTAAAAATTTTTTTTGCTAGCATGATCTCATTCTAAACACGCTAGGATCATCAGTCACTGCTCAAAACACGGTCCAGCATATGATGTCTTGGTGGACACTATGTATTCTGATCTAAATCCTAAAAGTTACAGTCAATTTCTAAGAACGTGCGATTTCGTGCATTCTAAAGTACACAATTAACTTCACCTCCTCAGTGATTATTCCCTTCCAGGCGGTAGAGAGCTGTCCAGCACCTATATATTCCTGCAAATGGCAAAATTTTGCTGGATATCGAACGCACCGTGTTTGTTTAGTTCAGTGACGCGGTGCTGCATCCATGCAGGGAGGAGTGCTGAAATTTTACGTAGTCATAGCCTTTTCAAAAAGCCCCTCCTCACTCAGCTAAAATCGTAGGAGTAGGATGCGGTGATAATCAGGTGGTGACACCTGATGGTTTTTCTTGCAGGTGATATCGATGGCAACTGATGTCCTATTCACGATGTACCTCAGCAATGCTAGCGGTGTTAGACTGAAGCGTTAGCATTAATTTAATGTGGTCCATCAATCACTTCTTGTGCTTATACCTATACTGTTCAATTGATAAGGCAGTCACACAACCAAGAGATCCCGAGTTTCCGTTCCTATCGCGTCACTCATCTTGGTTTGCTCGAAGATAAATAAATGAGTACCACCACGTAGAAAGAAAAGAAAACACTGCATAGCGAAATAGTCACCCAGCTGTAAATGTAGCCTCTAAAAACTCAAAGGCACTTCATGCTTATGGCACCGATACGAGAATCAGAGCTATGCCCCATGAGCTAGATGGAAAGCAGTTGCCACAAATGGCATTCTAACATGAAGCGCCAGAGGAGCCCAGTATTCCGTCGGCTCGACACATACCTCATTCTTTTTTATACCTTGGCTTTGAACTATCAACTGCGGGCATCTCGTTTCAAGCAACAGAAGGTACAGGACAACGTAATGCTTCACGTCATTTCACTGTGTTATTGTACCGATGAAGAAGCCAGTCAAAAACGGTGAAAGAACTTATTTCCAATCCTGGACATGATCGATTCACTTTCAGGGGACTGTTGGCTTCTTGCCGCCGTTGCGAACCTGACGCTATACGAAGAACTGTTATTCACAGTGGTTCCAAGATATCAAAGTTTCGGCGAAGGATACTGTGGAATTTTCTACTTCAACGTAAGCAAATTAAACTTTGATAATTTATTAAACTAACAATATGATTCAATAGTTAAAATATCGGTTATCTAACGTCTCTTCGGCATGCAATTCAACACTCCTTCAGTGTTTTTGTTTTCTCTGCTTTCTGCATATATCTCTGACCACTTAATTTGATTACCGGATCATCCGAGCGCGTCCTCAGAATACCGAGTGGACGTTTGTTGTCCGGCAAAACCCAGTCTGTAGTTCATGACGTCAGTAGGTGTCTCTTAGGCGAGCCACATCACGGGCCTATCTTCTCTTGGTTGAATCGACCTGGTGTTTTTGCCCTCACGGTGGGGGAGCTCATTGTCGAGTAGCGATGCTTCAATGCGGTTGAAAGTTGGTTGGTTGGCCAGTGTCGCTTTCCTTCATCAGCTGCTTTCCCTGTCTAACGAGTTTATGCTGTTCGCCTGATGATCAAAGTAACTAAACGGTACGCAAGCGGCAATCCGTTCCTGCTTTGAGTCACCTTCGTCGCAGCTCGTTGAACGCCCGTCATAAAATTCATAGAATCTCATGAAAATTGATATCTGTTTAATCGAAGTGGCCGTGTTTACATAAAAACCTTTTGGCTTTTTTCTTGCTTCTAATCATAGAAAAGCAAGATCTCATGTTTCCCATTAAATTTATTTATTGCTATTTTTTGTCGCTTTTAATGTTTCCTCGGCAATGTGGCATTCGTCCTTCAAGAAATACAGGAGGAGAGGGAGGGGAGTAAATAAATATGTGATAATAAATTATTGAACCTGTCATTCAGCATTGCATGAATTAGTTTAAGTATGATAATGACACTACCAGAAAAAAATTTTGGTCGACCGGATTTGAACAGTCACTAGAATGCTTAGAAATACATTCGAGCATCTGAGTGGCATTTTATGACCGCCAGTGCTCCTTCGCTGAAATGTGATGCTAAATTAATTGTTCAT